TTCAAATCTTAGGACTGCATACTTTCAGGAATTCAACATCCTTAAAAAAAACCAAATAGTCTTATGCCACCCTAAAAATCAACAGATTTATTATACTAAAAGTTTTCATGGACTCTAGTCCACTTTTCCAGATGTGTCTGAAGTGGACTGTAGTCCACAAAAAACATATGCTATAACACATCTGTTAATCTTTAAGACACCAACATGTCTTTTTATTATTGTTACTGTGGTGGGCTAGAGCTACCCTACAGAAATCCTTGCAAAAGGTGTTTACCATAGAACTTGTTTCAAATTCCTTAAAATGTTATGGCCTGGCTTTTTAGATATCCTACACTGTCAACTGCTCAAGTACTCCATCAGAAAAAGGTGTCCACTAGCAGTTTTTAAACTAATACAAAAACAGGGATCAATGTGGATCCAAGTTAGAAATGAAATACTATGTGAAGTTCTGGTGTCTTTGAAACAAATATCTAAGAAATGTTTGGCTACAATTGACATTTTTAGAGACATTTGGTCTGCATTTTCTGAAACATCAGTGATTAAATCCATATTGTTGGCTACTTTCCCCTCTGATCTGCATCTTTCTTTACATCTTGTGAGAAATTTATGAACAAAGTTATTGTTAATCCATACTGTCTGTCTCACCATTTAGATTCTTTTCAACAATCTTACTTTGCCAATATAGATAAACAATCTTCAGCAGGATTAACACATACTACTTCACATTTACAATGGAAAGGAAAAGAAAGGAGAGGAAAGGAAAGGAAAGAAGAAGCTGAAGTTCTGTTTGATGTCAATCAGAAGCTGAAAATATACACATGCTAGAAATGTGTAGATTTCCTCAATTACTATCTAAGCCTTCAGAATATAATGAATTAGGTGGCTATTTTCAAGAAAGCTAGTTCCTCATAAAAATTAGCATAAATTCGTATTTTAATAGCTTGCTTTAATAAAGGAGAAAAGTATGAAAATAGTATACAGGGTATTAGCATGTTACTTTATTTTTTATCAGATCTCATTTCAAAGCACTAAAATACTATAGTATTCAGTATTTGAATTATAGAAGCCATGGTTTCCTTAAATGTAGGAATGGCATTGCAGTATCTGTTTACTAAATATAGTATATGCTGCAGCCAGTTCTGTCTTAGTGTATAAGATTAGCCTTCTCTAAAACAACATAATATGTACATTGGGCCTTTAGCAGATAATTATTTTTTGAACAGGATGACAGTAACATACTTGCTATTAAAAGTAAAAAAAAAAAAAAGCACTCCTATCAACTATCAATATCATTTCATTTGTTTCACCTTGTTCTGCCAAAGGAATAATATTTACACTTTTTAGTATGTTCATGCTTCCTCAGCAACTCTATACCTAGCAGTTCCATGTTCTTCATGCTAAACTTGTGAAACTACAATACATAGTTGTTCTCCTCATTCCAATAAATTTGATGCAGGGAAGTTTAGATCCAAGATGAGATGAGATAGTCAAGCAGTCAGTTTTTAGGAACATTAACATTTCTTGCTCAGTGGATAAATCTGGGAAAATAGCTAAATAAAGAGAACCAGGTGGACAATAACTTATGTATCAAGGAAGAAAGCTTTGACATTGGAGGAAGAGTAGAATAATAGGTAGGAAGTGAGAGGATTTGGTAGAAACCTTTTGGGCCACTTCACTACATGATATATTTAGATTTCTGATATAGTACAAGGAAGTCGTATGTAAAGTAAAAAGTAAAAAGATTATCAGATGTTTTACAGACTTTAGAACTCCATGTATCAGCAGCCAATTGTATGATAAATGGCAAGGCAAAGCTATTAAATTCAGCACAGGGAGGGCTGCTTCCAAGAAGTGATGAAGAACATTTCTAAATTATAGCTAAGATAATAAGCATTCCTTCCAAGGCTAAAAGAGCTTCTTCCCTTCCCAGAAATCCTTAGAATGAATTGAGGAACTTCTGACCTTTAGAACGTAGTGTGACACCTGCAATCTTTACCTATTTTAGTGAATGTGAAGTTGGGAGTCCAATAACATCTGGGAAAGAAAAGGGACATAAGCTCCCCCGTTTCTAATTCAGCCAAGGACTCTGTGAGTGAAGGTAACTCTCTTTTGTGCCTGAGGGGCATTTTTTAGGATTGCCCTCCAAAGAACTAAAGGGTCTTTAAGGACAACTTCAGAGACAGGAGGAAATACAGACTGGCCAATCTGCCTATGGCTCCCTATTGGAATGAAGTCTTTGTGTCTTATATGAGTGTTCCTGAGACTGACAGCAAGAATGAGTAAAAGAAGTTTATTACTATAACACAGAGTTATTTATTACATGATAGGAATAGGCAAAGCCTAGCACAGAGCTAACTGCCTGTTACCAGAGTTCGAGGAAGAAGGAAGTTATCTGGGATCAGCAATATTTTAAATTAACAGGCAGAATAATAGACAAATAAATCCAGAGAAATTCTCTACTCTCAAAGGTTGTGAAGTACTGAGGAATCAATGGCACTGACATTACATTTTAATCCTCTCCTCTGCTTGTTTCTTCAGCTTTTAGTATTGAAGCAAAGAATCAGTTTTAATTCCATTCAAAGGGAAGCTGGTTCACACATTAATATAATTGATTCCTTATCATTTGATCATCCATGGAGAAATCTGTGAACTTTTTGGACTGAATTTTCTTGAAAGCAAAGAAATGAGAATTATAACTATGCCTATTAATTTGTGTTGTCTCATTCATATATGCATGTCTTCACTTGATATTACATATATGGAGCCATTAGCCCTAATTTTATTCACAATAGCCTAACTGATCAGCAGTTTCAGAAGTGGAGGCTAGCGTTAAAAAAGAGAAATATCAATTTTTAAAAAATTTATTTTGATTTATATGCCGCCCTTCTCCGGAGACTCAGGGCGGCTTACAATGCGTTAAGCAATAGCCTTCATACTTCTGTATATTTTATACAAAGTCAGCTTATTGCCCCCACAAACCGGGTCCTCATTTTACCTACCTCAGAAAGGATGGAAGGCTGAGTCAACCTTGAGCCTGGTGAGAATTGAACTCGTAGTAATTGCAGGCAGCTGGAAGCTAAATACTACCTTTAACAGTAGCATTAGTCTGCTGCGCCACTCAGGCTCATATCACTCTTCTTTACATAAAAACAGACCATGCTTATTATATATAAGATCATTTGTTTTTGAATGCCGATTTGGAAAATATTTCATACATTTTAAAGTAGAAATAATTCCAGCCTGGTTTCTTTTCTATTTTATGTTAATAGATTTTTGTGAGCTCAATAGACTTTTCTGGCTATTACTTGTATTTTCTGAGCCAGCTATTTTCTCAGCAAGTTTTAAAATCAGGAACCATTGCTTTCTAGTCTAGCCTGTCTTTAATTTGTCTATTCAGAAGGAAAACTGGAGAGTTCATGGACTTTCAAAAGAGGCATTACAAAGTTCAATGAAAACAAAATGCTGGATATAAACAAAGGATACAGCACAGCTTTATTTTCTGCAGCCAAGATTTTGGATGGAAGGGCTCTTTTTAGATTACTGTGGATTCCAGTGGAAGTACATTGCAATCTATGGTAGGTATGTGACAATTGCATCAGAGTGCATGGAGAGGCTGATGGAATCTGTATTGTCTTAGCTTACTTACATTCTGAACATAGCTGCAGGGTTATTTCTTCAGCTACTTAAAAAAAAACATTTTTGAATTCTTATATGTTTCAAGGAAAGACTTTTACTGTGACAGCTCTCTGACTTAATAGAATTTATGGATGTCACCATCAGGTCCTTATTATACCTTTCCCACTCACACTGCTTTCTGTATTCTCTATCTTCTTTTTGCTTTCCACAGAAATATAACTTAAGCAAGACAAGATGAACTAGCTATATATTATGTTTTGTTGCTAGTCCACAAAGCCCTCCATATGGAAACATCCTCAGGAGGCATCACTTTTTGAGAGTTGAGGGTTGTGCAGCCCCAGAATGCTCCTTGAGACTTAAGATCAGGTTCCTAATCTTCTACACCATGTCACTTATGTATATGAGCCTGGTCTCAAATAAAGATTTTACAAACAAAAATCTTCCTTTGTTTTTATGGCTTAAAGAAAATAATAGAAAATTTGAATGTCTCCTTTATTGAAGTTAAAAGAGTGCAACTGGATGTTGTCCAACTTAGTTGGCAATCCTGCTATATCATATTCATTTTTTTTCTTGCAAGTGCCAAAAGAATATGAACTCAACCTCTACATTTCATTACAAGAAAATACAGTGGTGAGCAATTGACAGAACAAAGTAGTCATTGTCTTAAAGCACAACTCTTTCTGCAAAGACTGCATCTATCACAAAATACTAAAGTTCAGAACATTAGTGAGATTTTAAGATTATCTAGATCCCTGTTCCTATATCTGTCAGCGTTCCAGAAAAACTCCCACTCCAATATCACTCCTTCTAACACCCCTCCCCAAGTCATAAAGACACATAATTTTTTTTTGAATCACTATTTCAAAACTTCCATCTTCTGCATGAATCTATTTTTAATATTCAATCAGGTTTGTTCAGTGGCATTTTCTTCCTTTAACCCAAACCTAGGTGAAAAAATTCTACTTCCAAATAGGACTTCCAGCCTTTCTTTTAAACCTGTAAGATGAGCAGCCTGAACCACATTAGATATACTTGGATTATGATTCCCATTAGATTTAAGATTTAAAAGCTTCCCACTGAGCTTTAGGCCCTGCTATCTGAGTGGATGGAATAGGTCTTGGAAGGCCTTAAATTATGCTAAATAGTCCTAAAGCAACATTCTGCTTAAGATACATTTTCTTACTGTCACCCCTATTTTCCCTCCAAATTTAAGCTTCCCAACCCTAATTTTAGCATACAGTATTTTCAGATAGATCATAATTAGTGTCCATGGAAAAATGTTTGCAAGAAATAAGGCAAGATTATAGTTTATATTTACCTTTAAATTTTTAGCCCAAGTATATGAATGATATCAGTGGACCATATAACATTTGTCCCAGTTTATTGGTAGAGATTTCAGAAATGTTTTCTGCTGTCCTACATTTTCTCTAGGAAAAGGGAAGGTTCCCCCCCTCTCCAAGTACTCCCGCCAAATCATAAATGATAAAACATAATAATTTGGAGTTGTGCTTTCTCTATTCCACATTGTCTTCACCCAGTATTTCATCAGTGAAATATTGGTCAAGATGCATTCAGAAAAGTTATCAATTTCATTAAAGTTATCCAACTTCCATACATATATATTTGAAGGCATTCATGGAGAAGCATCTATAAAACAGGAACTCTTTGGAGAAATGGATCTTGCTGATTCTGATTATGATTTGCAAAGGCGTTTAGCTACTTCTGCATAAGCTATTTCAATCTCTTTGTCTGCAGCACAAGTGTTGATGAATTCATCCCGAGCATAAGCATTATTCAGGTATTGCCACAGTCTTGTCATTTCTGCTGGGAATTCATAATTTCGATATTTCTTTGTTACAATCTAAAATAAAAATGGAGGGCTTTAATACTTATAAATATTATTGATTTTATTAGACACAAAAGAAAGGAAATATCATTTTACAATGGCATTGTTGAACTTGACACAAGGATGGGGTTTTTTGCACTGAATATGCTTATTTTTGTTTAAAGCTGTTACTGATGGTTATACAGTATGTTTATGTCTTGGGTTTTAACTTGTTTTTTGTTGGATTGTTATGAGCTGCCCAGAATAATTTAGGTGAGATGGGCAGCTAAACAAACAAACAAACTTCTTATTATTATTTTTAATAATATTATTTATTATTATATTAAGAACGAAAGCCAGTTTGGTGTAATGATTAAGGAATCAGACTAGAAACTGAAAAATTGGGAATTCTAGCTCTGCCTTAGGTATCCACCCAACTGGATGACTTTGGATTGTCGCTCTCTCTCAGCCCTAGGCAGGAGACAATGGTAATCCACTGCAAAAAATATTGTCTAGAAAATTATGAGGATTCATCCAAGCAGTCTCCAGCTATCAACACTGGCTGAAAGACACACATACACAGAAAAAGGAGAAATAAAAAAATCCACCCCATGCTTGCCCAAAAAGAGCAGGACTTGTGGCACAGCAATGCTTTCACTATTTAGATGAAATATTAGCAATACAATAAGTTAGAAACTGTAAGACTAATTGTAGACACAATGTATTAATTTTGACAGAAAATAACTAAATCAGGAGAGAGATAAGTATGTGCCTAATTCTGCCAATAGAGGCCAGTAAGCCTTCAGGAATCTTAACCAATAGTTTCAAATCAAATTAATTAAATGATAATAGTATTAATTGTCTCTGATATATATAATTAGCTTTATGGAAACCTCAACAATTAGAAAATACATTTAGACAGATTGGCTTACTTTACATAATTTATCTTACTGAACAGCATGAAGAGGTGTCTGTGCTGACTTTATTTGCCAAACATCAATTTTAATTAGATGCCTTTTGCAGAATCTGAAGTATCTTCTGCCCTATTTACGTCTTTACGCTATAATTTTTTTAAAAAATATGTGTGTGACAGTAAAATGATAACCATGGTCCTGTATAATTTAAAGTAAACAGGTTTTGCTAATTATTGTGTGTCCTGTTTTTTTTGACATGCCTCCATCTGCCACTACTGTCTAACATGTGGGGGAAATGCATAATTTTTATGGTAACTTTTATGTCTTCATTCACTCATCTTTTTTTTCTCTCCCAAATTTCAGAAAGAAAATGCTTCACCTATAGGATGCTTTGGAACCTTTGACTTATCATTCATTGAAAAAAGCCTAAATGATGACCTTTGGCCAGCATGAAGCCAAGCCTCCCCCAAATTTGACTTCTTCCAGATGTGTGGACTTCAAGTTACAGAATCCCCAACAAGGTCATGCTGGCTGAGAAATTCTTGGCATTGATGTTCACACATCTGGAGGACAGCTAGTTGAGGAAGCCTTCTTTAGCTATGCCAAAATGTTTGACATGACTTTCTATTTTAGTCTAGAATCTGCCATAAACTCCTGTAAAGAAAGGTGTTCAGAGTTTTTTCAAATTTGTACATCCTGGGAAGGTTGTTTTAGTCCCATGTAAAATATATATTTAACCTGGACAAATACACAACTTCTGAAGCTATATGAATTATGAAGCCATTATTTTCTAGGATGCTTCATGTTTCAGAAGGGATGTAGAATGACAGAGGTGGAAGGGGCCACTTAAGACATCAAGTCCATTCTTGGCCAAGGATTGAAACTGAAATATCTGTAACAAATGGCTGTCTGTTATATCTGTTTCAGTACATGCACTGAAAGTGAGTCCCCTGCCTCTCTGAGTAATTAGTTCCATTATTAATTGCTCTTGCTGTCAGAAAATGTTTGCTACACCCTTTCATTACTTGAAGAATGGTGTTCTATTCCCACATAATATTCTATTCTCAAAATTAAACATTCCAGTTTCTTCATTTTCTCTTCATAGGACTTGGCTTCTAGTCCAATGATCATCCTGTTTTTATCCATAGCATCCATATTAGGAATGAAGAAATGCCCCATGAAAGAGTACAAAGCTTATCTGTAATTCTTCTGTCTGACCATTCTGATTTTAAGACTATAATAAAGATTTAAGATTAAAAACTATCCTTTTTCTATTTCCCTGAACTTGTTGCAAATTTTCTGGCACTTTTTAAAGAATAGTAGCCAAAACAATTACAACATTTGAGGTAGACTCTGATCACCTCAAATATTACAGTGCCACCTCAAATACTGAAGTACCAGACGTATTTCCTAAGATGTGAAGTCTATATTTTTTTCAGGTATATCACACTATTGACTCACATGCAGTTTATAAGTAAAGTCCCCTTTAAATCAAGCTTAAATTAAAAAAGGCTACTTGAGTAAGATTTGGGTAGATTGGCAAGTGGTATTGGAGCAAATTAAGGATCTATTATTGTTGTTTAAAAATCTTAAGCAAGACTAGGAGTTATACATCTGATTTCATCAGTCTTACTTCAATATGCTTGGGTAGTACCTTGATGAATGAAGTAGCTACATGTTTACAGACTCTTCAACTCATTCAAAGGAAACCTAATTATTTATGTAAGACTATTCTGAACTTCTCTCTCCTAACAGAAGTGGGAAACTTGTAGTATAAATGGATCTTAGTAGCAACCAACTACTGTTGGTATTTGAGTTTTAGGTGTGTCAGGGATATGAAAGCATTTCACCTTGGCAACATGAAGCTTGGGCAGGAGGTTACAGTCTGCAAGGGTCAGCTCCTCCCCATCAAGAAACTTGCGTTTTGACACTCTTTCCTCTTCAGTGTTGCTTGTGTCTATCTCTTCAGGCAAAGGATTTCTCAGATAGTCATCCAGTTTCTTCAAAGCCTTTGTTAACCCTCTCTCGAGACCTTAATAATTAGAAAGAAGTGGTTAAATTAACTGTATATTAAAATCTATGACAAAATGGAGAATGGTATGAACCAGAATGATGACAATGCCTGTAATATTAGAGTGGCCTAGTTTATAAACATCCACGCTTCTCTGTACCTTTTCTGTAGTATTAAAAAATATTATGTGAAACCTTGATTGGCCAAGGCTGTAATGGTTCTGGACAGGGGTGGGTTCTACTTACCTTTACTATTGGTTTGCAATGGGATCGCATGTGTGTGATCCCATCGCTTGTGCGCGCACCTTGCTTCTGCACATGCGCAGATCGCCAATGATGACATCCGGGGTGGTGGGCGGGGCCTCCCGCCGGTTTTACTACCAGTTCTTGAGAACTGGTCCAAACCAGGGGCAACCCACCACTGATTCTGGAGATAAATTCAATGAATCTATCTGTTGATAATCACAGTATATGGAAGATTGTGATTTGAAATGTAAAAACAGTAAATGGTAAAGAGCATAAATTAATACATGTCATGAAAAAAACAGAAATATCCATATCAGATTAGGAATTCAGAGTTTGATGGCAATTGTATGTTGTTAATGAATGATAATAATGGAAGATCCAAAAATTAGTTTTGAGGAAAGCAATATTCTGAATAAACCCCAGAAAAAATGATTTCTGAGAAATTAGAGGAAAAAAATGATTCTGTTATATGTTAGATCCCATTCCCCTAAAATGGGCAGGAATGAGAAAGAGAGTACAAATTGGGCTATTTGGAGAACTAAGAATGAATACGAATGATGATTGGGACAAGTTACTTAGGAAATGGTTTGTAATTTTCAAATATAAGCATAAATCTGTTAATATATACATATGGCAAAGGAATATAAATCTAAAAGCATGATTGATTTCTTTATGATTGAAGACTAAGAGAACTGGTGAGGAAAAAAACATAAAAGTTTCTGAATGTGGAATATCATTTTGTTAAACTTGCAAGATTGGATCTTGGGAAGAGAGTTTCTTTAAAAAAAAAAAAAAAGAACGATACTGGGTTGCAAGCAGAGCTATTGCAAAAAAAGGAAGTCTTGAACGAAAAGTACCAAAAGATAGATCAATCTCTCAACATAATTACAAAGTAGAATAAAAAAATAAACATAAATAAAGAAGATGTAGAAGCTGCTGGGAACAAAATATTATTCAGGTAGTCCTCAACTTACGACTGTTCATTTAATAATGGCTCAAGTTAGGACAGCCTTTGAAAAAAGTGACTTACAACCTGTCCTCAAAGTTATGCCTACAGTCACGAGACTGCAACTCATGCGCTTGGTAATCTGCTCACATTTATGATGAATGCAGCATTTTGCGATCAAATGATCATGAATTATAACCTTCCCTGTCAGCTTCTGACAATTGTATTGAATTGAATTGAACTTTAATTAGCCAAGTGATTTGCTTAACAACCACAGCAAAAATAGTCATAAAATCTGGTCCACTAACGCGATGACTCGCTTAATGACTGTATCACTTAGCAACCAAAATTCCAGTCCCTCATAAGTAAGCAACCCAGCACTACCTGCAGAAGTGTAATGAGAAGGTTGCATAAAATAGAATGGGCTGGAAGGGAGCTTGGAGATCTTCTAGTCCAGTCTCCTGCTCAAGCTGGAGAACCTATACCATTTTAGATAAGTGACTTTTTAGTCTCTTCTTAAAAACCTCCAGTGATGGAGCTCCTTAGGATGAAAAAGAACATTTGGTGGAATTATGTGAAAGAGGATGTGGAGAAGAAAAATTGTATATAAGAGAATGATTGCTGCAAATAATGAATAAAAATATTGCGTAAAATTATGGAGAGGACAAGATCATTACAAAAACGTACTTAAGGAGTACGTTTAACCATACAAAGAATGGTTAAAATTAAGAGGCAGAAAAAAAGCAGAATAATTTTGACAGAAATAAAAATGCTTTGGAAGTTGCTGAAGAGCTAAACAAAGAATCTTAAACAGGATGAATGGAATTAAAATAAAAGTGATGAAATTATTTGGGATGAAACTGAAGAAAAGCTGAAAGGAGTCCTTTGGAGATTTATATAAAGATGGTAATGAAACGTCAAAGAATGGAATTGAAACAAATGCTACAAATGTTAGCGTTGGGGGGGGGGAGATGAAAAGCAGTCATAAATGATGTGAAAATGTGGACATGTGTAAGCCTGCAGATGTAGATGGTAATTTGTCAAATGCTAAAATATGGATATGGTTTGCTCAGGCAGTGGCTGTGTGACTTGGTTAACATGTGTGTGAGGGATCAATCTGTGCCTGATGATTGAAAGAATGTTCTCACTGTTCTCCTATTCAAAGGGGAAAGGCACAAATGAATACAAAAATTACATGGGGATTAGATTGTTACATGCGCTTGGGAAGATGTTTGGCAGGATTCTGATCAAAAAGGCACAAGAAATGACAATGATCAGAATCTGAGAAGTGCAGTGTGTCTTTCTGCTAAGGGAAGAGTGGGTCACTAAAGAATGACTGAATACAAGAAAGAAATGTTATTGTACATTAGCTTATGATAAAGTGTACAGGGAAAATTATGGAACATTGCCTTAATAGGAAGCTGAAGATTGGTTGCTGAATACAATAAAAGCAATGAGAACAACAAATGAATGCAGTACGAGAAGAAAATAGATAAAAAATTATCAGGGAAAAATATGTGTTAATCCTTGGGTTTTTAATGCATTTTTGTCAAATGCCAAATGAATTATTTTGGTGAGGGTATAGGTGTTTTAGTTGTGGACAGAATATTACATGTACATTTAGATGTAGATAATGGCATGTTTTTTCAATGAAAATATTTAATTGCAGTGAATATTACACAGACTTCCCTCCTCTCCTGAAATGGCTGATCTATTTAGTCACAGGTTTTCTGAAACTTGAGTTGCATCATCATTTCATTTCTGATAGAGGTACAGAATTCACGGCAGATTTTAGGGAAACCCTGGTTTATCTCTAGCATATAAACCTCTATCTCTTTTGTGTTCATTGCCTACAATCATAGAAACATTCACAGGGAGGGGTTGGGAGGGGAATTATTAAATCAGCATCATCATGCCACTGTAACACAAACCACTCCATTTGTACATCTTTGGAGATATTGCATGCACATATGAAAGGAGTGGAGTTTGCATTATGACAGCATGATAAATTTAATAAATGAATTAATAAATTATGCTTCTTTAATAATTTTGACAAAATACTCCACTTCTAAAGATATATCCCCATAGACGGATGGAAAAACATAGAGAACAAATGCCACCCTAGAGCAATAATTCCATTGCTAAACAAATCACCAGCAAGAAATTGGCTGATAATCTAATCTATGACTAAGTTTGCTTATTATAACTGGGTTCATCGCTGACTATTGGGGGTGAATCTTTGCCCCCCACGGAGAGGGCTCGCAATCTGGGTGTCCTCCTGGATGCGCGGCTGTCTTTAGAAGAGCATATGACGGCCGTGGCCAGGGGGGCCTTTTATCAGGTTCGCCTGATTCGCCAGTTGCAGCCCTTTCTGGATCAGGACGCCCTGCGCACGGTCACTCATGCCCTTGTTACTTCCCGGTTGGACTATTGTAATGCTCTCTACATGGGGCTCCCCTTGAAGAGCACTCGGAGGCTCCAACTGGTCCAGAATGCGTCCGCGCGGGTGGTTATGGGCGCAACCCGTTATGCCCATGTGACACCCCTCCTGCGCGAGCTGCACTGGCTCCCGGTGGTCTTTCGGGTGCGATTCAAGGTGTTGGTTACCACCTTTAAAGCGCTCCATGTATTAGGACCCAGGTACCTCCGAGACCGTCTTCTGCCACCAATAGCCTCCCACCGACCAGTTCGTTCCCACAGAGAGGGTCTCCTCAGGGTGCCATCAGCCAAGTTATGTCGGCTGGCGACGCCCAGGGGGAGGGCCTTCTCTGTGGATGCCCCAGCCCGGTGGAATGAACTGCCCCCGGAAATTCGTAAGATCTCCGACCTCCAGGTGTTTCGCTGCGCATTGAAGACCCTGTTGTTCCGCCAGGCCGGACTATCAACACAATAGTTTTAAATTGGGGTATTTAAATTTATTGGGGTTTTAAATTTGAGCCACTTATTTAATTATTTTAAATTTTATATCATTGTTTTGTCTGTGTTTTTAAATAGGCTGTACACCGCCCTGAGTCCTTCGGGAGAAGGGCGGTATAGAAATAAAATTATTATTATTATTATTATTATTATTATTATTATTATTATTATTATTCATGCTTCTATTCAGATGTTACAATTTAAGGCCATTTTCAGTGAGCACCCATATTCGGAAAAGTTGGAAGCCAAGAATTTAAATCCTAAATCCATGCACACAGTTCAATGTCTCTGTTCACCAGTGGGCACATCTTCTATGCATACGTAACTACTATCTTGTCTGTAATAAAGCAACTTGTCTAGCCATGCCATGTCTGCGAGTTTCTGCTGCAAGCAAATTCCTGAATATGAGATTTAGTGTTGGGAGAGATTTATTATTGAGTCGGGCATGAAGTCTGCCAATTTCAGCCTAAATAGAAATTTAAATCCAGATTTCTAGGGCTGTAATCCAAAATTCTATCACTGACATACTGGATGTACTCCTGCAATTCTGTGCCTTGCAACAATAAGCTTCTGCCTTATGCAGATTAAGGACCACTGGGAGATTGCATCTGCACTGTATTACAGAATTGTTAGTTTTGGCCATATTTCAAAATGCAAACTGGGTTTCATTTCCTTTTCCAGGATTGTCTTCCCTTTCTAAAATATTATGTAAAATATCTTCTTCACATTAAAAGGAACACTGATACCAAGTTTAATATTTATCATTATTTCATACCAAACAGTTTGAATTGTGATGCTAAAATTCTAACCACTGGAATGGTAATGATTTACAAACTTTCAGTGGTGTATAATTGATCTAATATCAAATTCACCATAACAAGATGCAACGTGGCCAAGGTATCTCTCCCGTCATC